GCCCCGAGATGTGAGAATCATTTTGATTATGTAACACTAGTGAAATAAAATGATGCAATGTGTTAATTCATATTCAAACTAATTCAAGACTTCAGAGCTTCTGAAGACGACTTCCACAGCAGAGCCACAGGCTTTCAGATACCAATGAAACCCAGGTACAATACCTTTCCTGCTTGTCATTTCATGTTACAAAAGAGTGTAATAAAACTCAAAACTTCTTTGGGGGGAGGGGGTAGGTATCAGTCATATTTTTTAAGCTACTTTCTAGAATTTTTTTCCTTTCAATGACAGTAGTGGATTAGGGCTTCCATGTGGTAAACTAAATGTTAAAAATTACTAGCTTTGGGCCCGGCGCGGTGGCGCAGTGGTTAAGGTCCTCACCTTGCACGCCCGGGATCCCATATGGGCGCCGGTTCTAATCCCAGCTGCCCCGCTTCCCATCCAGCTCCCTGCTTGTGGCCTGGGAAAGCAGTCAAGGACGGCTCAAAGCTTTGGGACACTGCACCCGCGTGGGAGACCCGGAAGAGGCTCCTGGCTTCGGATCGGCATAGTATCTGCTGTTGCGCTCACTTGGGGAGTGAATCATCAGACGGAAGATCTTCCTCTCTGTCTCTCCTCTCTGTATATCTGCCTTTCCAATGAAAATAATAATAATAATAATAATAAAAAATTACTAGCTTTGGGTCTGGCATGGTAGCCCAGTAGCTAAAGTCCTTGCCATGAATGCGCTGGGATCCCATACGGTTGCCAGTTCATATCCTCACAGCCCCGCTTCCTATCCAGCTCCCTGCTTGTGACCTGGGAAAGCAGTCAAGAGGGTCCAAAGCCTTAGGGACCCTGCACCCGTGTGCGAGACCCGGAAGAAACTCCTGGCTCTGGATCAGCACAGCTCTGGCTGTTGCAGCCACTTGGAAAGTGAATCCGCGGACATAAGATCTTTTTGTACATCTCTCCTCCTCTCTATGTCTGACTTTTCAATATAAATAATAAATCTTTTAAAAAGATTGCAAGCAGGCGGCGCCGTGGCCCAGCAGCTAAAGTCCTCGCCTTGCACGCGCCATGATCCCATATGGGCGCAGGTTCTAATCCCTGCAGCTCCACTTCCCATCCAGCTCCCTGCCTGTGGCTTGGGAAAGCAGTCGCGCATGGTCCAAAGCCTTGGGACCCTGCACCCTTGTAGGAGACCCAGAAAGAAGTTCCTGGTTCCTGGCGCAGCACCGGCTATTGCAGTCACTTGGGGAGTGAATCATTGGACGGAAGATCTTCCTCTCTGTCTCTCCTCCTTTCTGTATATCTGGCTTTGTAATAAAAATATAAAATAAATGCTAAAAAAAAAAAAAGATAACAACCTTTCAAAAATGAAAGTTTTAGGAACAAGGTAGAAAAATAAAGCAGTCAACAAAAATTATTTAAAAATTCAATTATCTATTTTAATGGAAACACCGAACTTGTGAGTTATTTTCTAGCAGTGAGAGGTCAACTGTTACTACAACAGGGCACTGAGTGCAAAGCAAGCACATCTGTTGAAATAACCAGCTCTGTTCACATCATTTCCACAGGCTTCTGACTCTGGACGACCAACCTAAATGCCTATTACTGCGGCCATGAAGGAACTTCAGTGCGTCACACCACCGCGTAGCATGGAGGTCATTAATGTGTGACTCTTAGTTCAAAACCTTTGGTAATAAGAACTACCAATAAGTAAGAAATACTCTCCCAAATACCCAATTCTTATTTATAACAACCTGGTAATACAGCAGAGATAGGTACACAAACAAACATTTTAAAAATTCTTTTATTGCTTGCAACACCAAAGTAACCCAAAATTCACATTTACATGAACTTCTTAATGAAAATATACTGTATACATATCAGATACATATCATACAAATGTTGGAGATAACAGACACATAGTAAAGAAAATGAACTGAATTGCTAGAATCTTTTTTTTAAATGAAGGTTTTATGAAAACCTTTATTCTAGCAATTTTGGTCTCTGAGGTACTAAGAACAGATTTTTTTAAAAAAAATTAAGTAGTTGGTTCTTACTGTACATCAACTAACTTTATATTTTCACATTGCCAGTCTTTCTAAAGGAATCAAAATCTCTAAGCGATGGAAGTTCAGTTCTAAGTTCAACCACAGGGGCTGGATCAGGCCAGGTCCAGAAGCTGGTTGTTGTCACCTCAAAGTAACATCCATACATAAATCAGTCTGCACACCACCCATCCTTAAGGCTGCCACTGCCTCTTTCCAGTATAACCGGGCCTTCAACTACCAAGTTCTTTGAGGAGTGAACTTGTGGGTGTTTGGCTAGGGACTTTAAAATATTCAATAACTCAAGTCCCAATGATATATTTAACTCCCTTTGTAAGATAACTACTGGATATCATTGATCGAAATAATATAGATATAGTATGTGTTATCTAAAATGAAACCCCACTAGGAGCAACACACCTGTATTTTCTGTAAGCCAACTTTAACATGCATGAACTCACGTTCTGGTTTAATCTACCTTGAAAACAACATAGGCAAATATATCCAGATATGTTTCCTGCTCAGTTTGCGTCCTTCCTGCCAACAAATACTGTTTAAATGAAACACAGCCACAGCCAGGTGGATGGGAGGTGCAGACATCCTTCTTGAGTCTTAGTGCAGCCGGGACACTTCTTACCTGCAGTGAGCACCCACTGTTCACTAAGTGCCCCCCTTGGGGCAGGCTTCATGGCTGGTGTTTCACGTGCTGCCCATCGAGTCACCACAACACCCTGGTGTGTCAGCCTCATTTTTATTCCCTTTACAGCTGAGGAAACTGAAATTTTATCATCAACTTCCAGCCTTAAAATCTTCTAACTTGCCACTTCTTTTTATCATATAAGAAAACAGGAGGAGAGTGCCAAAAGGCAGCTGAGAGCTGCAGCCCTAGTGCCACTGCACAGGAGCAGCATCTAAGCAGCACTGCAGATGCCCACCCCGGCCCTCGGCCCTTCACTACCGTGACGCAGCGATGCAACCAGCACTCTCAGCAAAGTGATGGGACTGCGGTCGGCCTTAGGGACAAGTGCCCTTTTACTTACAGACACATATTTAGAAAAGCCTATTTCTCTATGCAATCCACATGTATATGATATTCTCATGCTTGGGACTAAGCTGCATTTTAATTTAAGCATTCACTTTAATAAACAGTTTTAAGTTTTATTTTACGTCAAACAATACTTTCTGGATCTGGAGTGACTTTCACCTTTAGAATTTGCTTTTGAAGTCATATGTAAAAATAATTGTCAAAAGTAAAATATAAATGATCCCACACTAAAAATTACCCTTTCATTCTCAACACATACTGTAAATGTCCCTCTCTCAGGAAACGTCCATCTAGCGCGGAGAGGAGGGCCGCCTGGACATTATGTTACAGACAAGAACCATCAACAAAGGTTGTAACGTGATGATTTTCTCCGCCGTACCTAGTTTACTAATTTATTTTTCAAGCTTATCAACTTCTCATCCTTGTTTTATTTCATCTCACATGTTAAATTACATGTTCAGTAGAAATAAAAGGCAGAATCTTCAAGACTTATATCAAGGGACTACTTACTCTCTGGAGTTACTTTAAAGTATCAGATATTACACTCTTGGAATCATGAAATCTTCAATGAATTTAGTAATCGCAGAGGAAAAACACAAATGTATGCAATTTTGTAAATAGTCCCCTGACCAACAACTTTCAACAGAAGTGGAATCATAATCGAAGGGACTTGGAGGAAATGCACTAATCAGAAATATCTGATTCAGACTTCGCAGTTTATGTGGATAATCTTATTATCAGTATTACCAGAAAAAAGGGGGAGGGAACAACAAAGCAAGATCCAAGGCTCACAGTTCGGAGCCCACGCTGCTTCTACGACAAGGCAGAGCTTCCAAGTAACTTCATTAATCAACTTATTTCCCATCTTACAAATACTGCTCATACTTTTGATAGATTTTAGTCTCAAATCCTTTTTACCACTGCTTAATCTAGGAAACAGTTTATTATCAGACTAATTTAAGTCTTAGAAGAGGGTAGAATACAGCGCCATTTAAAATAAAATAGATTTTTATTATAAATATGGTACATACACAAAAATAAAAATTTCCAACAGTACTAACAGTAAAGCCAGAGTGAACACCCTCTATTACACAAAACAACAACCATCCCTCAGTCCTATATCTCAGAATAACCAAGATTCTTTCCTTTAAAAAACCCTGAGATTAAAGAAACAAATGTGGGTATACATACATCCCTGAAAAACACAGTGGGCTCACAAAATTTTGTAACACTTCAGAAGCAGCAACTCAGCATCAGAAGACTTGAAGTACTAACAACTACAACTTCAAACATACTACTGATTGAGCTGGCGTGTTCACTTGTAATTTAAGCAAGTAAGGGGAAGCCTTCTCAAAGGTCTGGATGGCCTAACCTACACTCTCCTTATGGGCAGCAGCAGACTGTGGGGCACAGAGTGCAACAGAAAAGGCAGCAGGAAAAAGCTGGGCCGAGTGCAAAGCAGTCTGTGAGCTGGCAAAGCAAGTCAGCCACTGCACTGTGCCAAAGACTGTCTGCCAGTCCACCAAGACACTGCCAAAGTCCAGGGTTTGAAGATGGGAAAAAATTGGTCGAGAGAGAGGAAGAGACGGAGAGATAGAGAGGGGAAGAAGACAAAAAACAATAACAAAATCCCAAACCAGCTCTGCTGAAGAGGTGGGAAGAGTCAGGGTTCGTTACTCAGACATTTGGGAGCACATCCCTTGCATGAGTAACATGCTCTATGCCACAATAAGAGGTGTACAAACATGATTTTTCATCTTTGAGGTTATCTCTTGGTAAGGACCAAATGTACATAGTTAAGATGTTCCTCAAAGAAAAATATTGGCCTTGGAGAACACTATCAAAATACACATTATTTTCAAAATACGTAACTGGGAAGCAGGGAGGGAATAAAAACGACAAAAGCAAAATGAACTTACCAAGAAGTGAAACAGGCTGAGTGACAGGAGGGGTGGGTAGATTCGTGGGTGCAGCAGGTGGCACGGCAGAGCCATACATTTTCGCACTGTCACCAGACTCGGCGTCTCCTCTAGCCCCAGACACCACTGTTGGAATGGGATTTCCAATAGATAAGTCTTTTGTAGTGTCTTCACTTATACCAGCGATAGTAGCTAAGGAATATAATTACATCGACATGTGAAGCTGAAAAAATTACTTTGGCCCCCGTCAACATCCTTCTGCCATACTAAAGATCCTGGTTCACCTGAGTTCCCTCCCACCTTGGTTCCAGAGGACAAGTGAACACAAAGGAAAAATATGCTTACAGTTTGGGAGGCTTATTGGTGGAGTGTGAGGAGGAGGAATGGACACTGGTGGAGTTATGGGAGGTGGGGGTCCAGGAGGAAGAAAACCTACAATAAGAAAATGTGTCAGGCTTGGCGCCGTCTCTGGACTTGAGCCTTTCAAAGAATGTCTCCTCAAACAACTTAGTGTACCTGGTGGCAAATGCATCGGATTGAATCCTGGGCGCAAGAATGGTGGAGGAGGGGGAGGAGGAGGGACACCAGGCCCAAAGCCTGGAGGGGGGATCCCCAAAGGAGGCGTGAAAGTGGGAGGCTGCAGAGCACCGACGACGGGAGGACCAGGCTGGGGAGGTGGGACCTATAAAGTTGAGAAGAGAGAAAAATGAAACCACACATCTAACCATTCTCCCCACTCGCAAAGTGAGGGCAGAACAAAACATTTTATTTTAAAAACAGCCGCTTCTAAATAGGTGATTATACCAGTAACAGCTTAAATCTACTTCAAATGACAGAAATCAAAGCTCTGTAGCTCTGCAGTGTATTTCCTCAGCATGTACCAATGAAGCATGCATGACACCTTCTATTGAAATAACCTGGGGAAATACACCTATAGGCCAACCACCTGCCAATCGACGTAAGTGACCAGAATCCCAGGTTAGAGCACCCAATTGCCTCTCTTCTCTCCTAGCTGCTTATTTGACCTCAATCAAGTATTTTCAACTCTAAAGTGGTGTGAACCTCACAATTACAGGAGTTTAAATGGTAACACATTTGAAGTGTTTAAGTCTAACACACTTAATTTACAGAAAATATTGTTTGAAAAGGGGGAAAAACACATGAATTTTAAAAAAGATTATTAAGGTTTCTTTAAAAGAGTGCTGATATGTGTCGAATTTTTCTTGGAACCTGCACTGCAAGGGGCATATCCAGAAGGCCAACTAAAGAGTCTGCCAATTTGGGGAGTTTATTTTTAAAATATCACAGGTAAGCACGTAAAAAACCTTATCACTTTCCTCTTGAGAAAAATCAAGATACGCAACTCAGCTTTGTGATAGCTCAGATTTGATTCTTTTTGAGACAGTCAGAGCGGTGACTGAGATAAGCCTGGGGCTAGTGAGCTAGGGGAGCCACCTGAACTCCCAGTAGGATGGGCAGCAGCTGAACTCAGGCACACCACTGCAGCTCGCAGCAGTGAAGATCACTGCCAGATTACATCAATTCCAGCACACAGACAGAACAGAGCTGTTTTATGGGACATCTATTATAATTCTCACCATAAGGTCCTTGATTATTTAGCAGGAAACATGCTCAATACAGTACCTCATTTTATCCTCAAAACAACGCTAACACAGGACAAACACTACAGCCAGTATCAGCAAAGGGAATTTACACACCAACAGAAGCTCTGAACTAGAACGTCAACCCACATCTCCCAGAATCTGAACTTTGTTTCCACTCTGGAAGAAATTCATTGGTTGACCAGAGAGCAGATACTATTTAAATATATCTTTTTGTCATATGGTTTCCAGGCTACTGAACAGCCTTGGATCATCTATGAATCATACATCATGATGGTACCACACAAGCTGAAGATTGTAAAGAAAAAAAAAAAGAAAAAAGAAAAAGCTGTCCAGGGGATGATAGGGGAGTAAAATGTGTTATGATTTGTAAGTTTGCATCTCATGTCTAGGACATTGCCGGGTAATATACTGAATAAGCCAGATATAAGCTGATATGTTCTGGCTCTGTAAACACTCATGAACAGTAAGAATTTGTAAGTAACAGACCTGATATACCAAAATATGAAAAGCCATAAGGACGTTTATATCCTCCTGATTTTGGCTATGAATACAGGCATGCAGTGACAACAAGCTTTCTAAGGGTACCCATCCCTTCAGTGTAAATAACCTCACCTGTGGAGGTGGCACTGTTATAGGTGCAGGAACAGGCATTGGAGGGACAGGCACAGGTAGAGGTTTAGGTATGGGGGATACTGCTTCTGTGTGTGATGTTTCTGCACCTCCATTTTGAGCAACTTCATTTTCAGGCTTCTTGGGAATTCCTTTCCAGTCTAAGAGAAATTAAAAATGTTTAATAATAAGTGTTTACTACTTCAGCTTATACTTTTAAATTCAGAAATGAAAAGCGCTCCATTAATGTTTATTAAAGAAGGTCCTATGCTAATGTTACTTATAGCGATTATTTCATGAGTGACACTATAAAACATATAGAACTCTTCCCTCGTGTCAGGCACTCCTATTAAGATCCTTTAATCAGGCAGTTTTATTATTCCCACTTTACAAAGATAGCATGTCGAAGGTCAACTTTCTTATAAGTGGCAGGGGCAAATTCAACCTGCATACATCTATTTTTCTACAGTCTACATTCTTCACCACAAATATGCCTTATTTCAATTTAAATATTTTTAAAAGAACAAGAAACACCTAGCATTTCCTGAACAAATTTCCCCTAATACTAAAGAATAAGGTAAACTGCAAATTTTTTGTTACATTACCATGTGCTCAAGTGAACAGAAAACTTTCTGATCTGTCCTCTGGGTCTGCTTTTCATCAGATTCTCTTATGTTCCCAACTTGTTCTAGAAACCCTCCATTGGACCACGAGGTCCAGGATCCCCCAGTACACAGGCTCCCAGATGCCTGGCACATGGAGCAAGGCGCTGATGCCTGCACACCAACTTAGCTCCGGCTACACGTGAAGGCGTCAGAGAGAGAGGGAGGTGAGACGAGGGGACAGCATAGCATGGCGTCAGTTCCTTTTGCTTTCCAACCATCAACTACTGCTTGAAGCTTCTTTTAAATATTCATATACTTTCCCATGCCATCCTGTAATATTCCTGCTGTCATTCTCCCAGTCGTACCTGTATGTTCTGCCACTTTCCAAACTGTAACCTCTCAATCTAACATTTGCCCACAAGTATAAGCATAACTGCATACTTAGAATTTGCAAAAGTTACTATGAAGCACTGGGTTAAAATGATGACACAAATATGCTCAGTTTAAAACCAAATAGATCTGTTCAGTGCTCACAGGAAAAGTCCAGTTCCAGCCTACTTGATTCTGAAATGAACAGTTAAACCCACACGAGTAATATTATTATTTTACAAGATTTATTTGTTTCTATTGGAAAATCAGATAAACAGAGAAGAGACAGAGAGGAAGATCCTCTGTCTGCTGGTTACTTCTGAAGTGGCTGCAACAAATGGAGCTTAGTCAATTTGAAGCCAGAAGCAAAGAGCCTCCTCCGGATCTCCAGTGCAGGTACAGGGTCCCAAGGCCTTGGGTTGTTCTCAACTGTATTCACAGGCCACAATCAGGGAGCTGGATGGGAAGTGGGGCTGCCGGGACTTGAACCTGCACCCATATGGAAACCCGATGTGTGCAAGGAAAGGACTCCAGCTGTTGGTCTACTGTGCCAGGCCCACAGCAGTAATGATTTCATATGTGTTTACATTTCTCCCACTATCTTGACCTTATTCATCACTATATCGTTATTTAACAATGGAGAGACCAGCATATAGTTCACACTTTATATCATGAGCTTTCCAATGAAAACACTAAACATGACATTTCTTCTATGCTATAAAATCTTATAAACAGTGCTTTACCTGGGTTAAGTGTATCACCGTCCAGCATGCCTCCTTCACAAAAACCCTCCAGTTCCTCCGGCTTGACTTTGTCCCATGGAATATAAGTAACGCCAAGCTCCACATCCCAATACTGCTTATAATCTGCCTTTATCCCTTTGTTCAAGGCCCAGGCAATCTATTTCATCATTCATGAAAATATAAAATGAAAGAGAGATGGTTGTAAGATCTGATATCTCATTATTCTGTATCACACTTATCCAACTTTGACAGCAAAGCAGCACAGTAGCAGAACTAAAATCACTCCTATCCTGGAATCGCACACAAAGCCTTATCTTGCCATGGAACTGGTTTCCTTATTTCCATTTTGTTCTAGGATGAAGATTTCATTGGCATCTGTTCCTGACCAATTACAACATCCCATCCCTAAACTCATCTAGTAAGAAACTCAGAAAAGGAAAAAGTCTATCAGTGAAAGGTTGAAGTTTGTCTTATAGCCCAATAACTTGGGGAAAAGCTCATTAAGAACACAGCGCAAGCACGAATTATGCTTCCTTAATGTAAGAGTACCAATGATATTACATATTCGCCCCTGTATCTTTGGTTAACTATTTTCAGTTAATTCTTAGATAGCTATTGCTAAGAACAAAATGTGAAATAGGCAAGTATTTTTAATAAGACAAAAGATATTACTAAATGACATTATTTTAATGTACAAATTAAGCATGTTTGAGGAAACTATTTACATAAACAAAACAAGCATTTGGTGGGGCCTGCACAGTGCCACAACAGGCTAATCCACCTACAATGGGCATAGGTTCCAGTCTTGACTGCTCCACTTCCCAACCAGCTCCTTGTCTAAAATTTTAATCAGGAAAGTAGTGGAGGATGAATCTGGCATGCTGACATTTACAATTTCATGTTAGTTAATAGACAGTTCTTCGAAGGCAGAGATGGGGAGTCACTTCTCTGCCAAAGGCCATCTGTATAATTCTCACATCACTCATAGTCCAATCAAACTCACTAACTGGAAAATTAACCGCCTAAGGATTTATTACATCCTTAAAAAAGATTTGTTCTTACTGGAAAGGCAGATTTACAGAAAGGAGAGATATATATAGATCTTTCATTTTTTGGCTCATTCCCTAAATGGCTACAATGGCCAGAGCTGAGCCATCTGAAGTCAGGAGCTAGAAGTTTCGTCTAGGTTTCTCATATGAGTGCAGATTCCCAAGGACTCAGTCCATCTTCTGCTGTTTGGCCAGGCCACAAGCAGGGAGCTGGATGGGAAGCAGAGCCACAGCAACACGAGCAGGCAGCCATATGGGATTTGAAAAAGCCATATAAATAATTTCCAATGTCATCCAAAATTATTTTGCAAGTTTACCAACTTTACCTTTATGGACTTCTGGTTCACTTTATAGTTCCCTCGACTCAGTTTCTGCAGTGCCCGATACGCATCTTGTCTGTGAACCATCACGATGTAGGCACAACCTCTGGGAGGAATCATCTGATCCAGAACAGTTTAGTAGTACAAAAGAACAAAATCAAAGAGCAGTAAGACATGATCTTCAGTAATTACGTCCTAGTGTTGCAACAGTTAAAGTTAAAAAATTCATGTTATAAGCACGGAATTCAATGTTTGTTTCATTTGACTACTCCAAGTTCGGTTATTCTAGGAATAAAGTTATTCCTAGAAAAGGATTTTAAGTTAAATTTGGATATCCAAGTAAAGTTAAATGCAGTAATCAGTTAACATCATCACTGGCAAATCCGAGCACCAGAACAGAGTAAGGGTCGAGCCAGGTTTGGTTGCGATAAAAACCAGTCCACACTACAGAATGCCAGGAGGAAGTTGACTGTGCCGGATGTGACTGCAGTGCCCATCCAGCACACGTGAGAAACAAGAGGGGAGGGGACAGAGCCAGCGGGGGAATAATAGGAGGTTCCCTTGCTGGACAGCTACTCCCACTGGAGAGCATGAACTGGGATGGGGGCAGACCAGACTAAGCAGGGCTACAACACCTGTGCGCCTCATGTGGCCTAGACCAGGGAAAAGCCAGGATGGGTTGATTGTTACTATGGGTGCAACCTACAATTAGAATGGGAGAGGGCTGTTTGGGCATAGCCGTAGCATCAGCTGGCAGAAACTGGCACTGGGGGCTAACCCTGTCAAGTTAAACTGCAGAACCACCTGGAAAGTGCACAATCCGGGAGTGAGAGACCTGGGAGGGAAATAGTGGGTTCCCCCTTCTTGGGTTACCACTGCCACGGGAAGGCACGAGAACTAGGACAGGGGCTGGGGTAGCTAGACAGAGAGGCACTCAACCACACCCGTGAAGGCTTGACTGTTGAGCTGGGTAGATGGATCCAAGCTTCAATGCCATTTGCCATGTACGAGAACCTGGGGGGATGTGGGTCAGACTGGACTGGTCTGCCACACATACTGGCAAACCAGGGTAGGGGGTTGGCCTGGTGGGGGTTATTGTGGGCCGCTCTCAACAGGCTGCAGTATGTGCTGTGCAGAACCAGGCTGGACTGCATCACCCATCGGTTCCAGTAGAAGGCGGGGCTGAAAACAGAACCAACCCAGCAATTGCAACTACCAGCTGACCGGGTGATGGACTGTGCTGGGCTGTGTGCTTGCTGGTGCATACGAGTATCTGGCCTGGGAACACCTCAGACGAAGTTTCTTTGGTGATCTCCCCAATTGAAATGCCAGACTCAGAACCCTAACCATGAAGGGACAGAAGATGGAACAAGTTAATCAACCACCTCAGCTATAGGTTGGCAACAAAATACCAGGCAAATAGAGACGCTATGATGCACAATGTCAATTAATGGATTTTTCAACAACTTCATCGTTTTTGGAGAGGCAAGATTGGCAGCAATTTCAAAACTGGTGACCTATTGAAACTACTTCAACAAGTATCTCGGAGCATGCCCCACATGCAGGACTTGGGGTGGGTGGGAAATCAGGTGGGGCTTCTCCCTCAATATCCCCCTCTACCTCAGATATATGAAGGAAACAATATGGAAATAATAGTCTTACCCACTTTCCTGTAGCCCTTGACCCTTTATGCACAAATTAACCATGTAAAGATTGTTAAAATAAAAAATATTTAAAAAAAAAGGTTAAATGCAGAAAATACTAAATGTTGTCTCAGAACACTGGACTGTAGCCACATGTTTTATAAGCCCAGGTCTCAAGCACGATGACACTTATACTTCTATGTAGTTACCATATACTCACATTGATCGATTCAATTGGACCAAACTCTTCTAGGAGACTGGCAACATCCTGCTGAGTAGTTCTTTTGTCCAGCTGTCCTACCCAAAGTGTAGTACTGCAAACTTAAAAAATAAATTACAATCACAGAGATGTTCACATTTAATAAGTAGCATTAACCGTAACATGAATTACATTATGATATCAAGCATTTATACAGTAAATCACACACATTTAAGACATTCTGAAAATTGCTTATACCTCCAGAAATGGAACCAGGTTCATTAAAGTTACCCATGAGTTGGAAAAACTGATTTTTTTTGTGCAGACGTAAAGATATAACCCATAAAAACGGAGGCCAGAGGAGCAGCAGATGGCCCAAGGTCACTCCACCAGTCAACAGCAGACACTAGCCTAAGTCTCTTGATTACCAACCCAGATGTGAACTCCTGGATTTTCCAGCTTCACAGTCCCCACTTAAGCTTCCTCCTAAAGTGCATGCACTCTGGGAGGGAAGAGGTGCTGGCTCAAGCAACTGGTTCCAGGCACTCAAGGGAGGATCTGTGACTTCCTGGCTTTGGTCTGGCCCAGTCCAGAGCACTCTGGTCATCTGGGGAGTAAACCAACAGATGTAAAGATCTCCGTCTCTTCTAACTCTGCTTTTCAAATAAATACATAAACTCTTTAATAAACAAATAAAGGAGTATAAAATTAGGAAACAAGTCAGAAAGTGCCCAATTAGGAGTACAAGGTAGATACCTAGTAATTTGCTGTCAAAATTCTCATAAAACTGCCTTTATTTGAGCAGCAGTATCATGCTAGAGACGGGCTCCCCTGGGAAGCTGTCCTGGATGGCTTTAGCCAACATTCTCTAAACTCTAACTGGGCAAATGTTGTTGCTCTTTGGTCCTTCAATAACAAAATGCCTGGAGCCTCTCCCAAAATAAATAAACACCATGACATGCATTCTTGATGGCCCTTCCTCTGCTCCAACCAGACCAATTCCTTCTTGGGGGCTACTTCTTTTAAAAGTCATGTTTCCTGGCTGCTGCTGTGGCATATTTGGTAAAGCTGCCCCCTGTAGTGCTGGCATCCTGGATGGGTACTGGCTGCATCCCTACTCCATTTCCAGTCCAGCTCCCTGGCAACATGTCTTTGAGGGCAGCAGACAATGGCTCTAATGGTTAGACCCTGGTACTCACACGGGAGACCTGGAAGAACCTCCTAACTCCTAACTCCAGACTGGCTTAGCTTCGGCCAACTGTGGCCATTTGGGAATGGATCATTGGATGGAAGATCCTTCAGATATACATATATATATTTTTAAGGTGCTAAAATGCAAGCAAAAAACAAAACTAGCTATGTTTCACCAAACATGACCTCACTTAACTGCCTATTTCCATTCAAAGCTCTGCTCTTGTCCACAGCTAATTGTGCGGGACAGTTCTACCATTCATTGAGCAGAAGTTTGTGGGTCTTTAATTTTTTTTTAAGAGCTGTGTACATTGAAGCAGCCAAGAGTTCTACTGATGTGTGCTCCTGTTACTGTCGTTAACTACCAGTTTCAATTAAAACACAAGCAAACTGCAAGTTGATGTCATAATCTGTTGCTGAAATGAATTTTACATTCGGAAATGATGATCTCTTTGAGCAACTGTCCCCACAATTTTGGTTAAGTGCCAACATTCTTTCACCCAAGTTTCCAAACATAGATCTGACGTTCGTTCTTGCTTCCATGTTGGCACAGATCACTTTGTTCTGATTGGAATAATTTCCAAACTGATGCTTAATGCCTCAAATTAGATCCTATTCATGTATGTTACTTTGGTGTTGAATCACACACACACAGCAAAAAATAAATAAATAAATAAATAAATAAATAAATAAAAAATAACCTGAAAGAAATCCAGGCAATTTTTTCCATAATACAGACTCCCATGAATAATCTGAAGAACCACTCATATTATGAGTTAAGATTTAAACAGTATTTGTAACAAGAATATGTTTAACACATCTATCTATATTCAGAAAACATTTTCATGATTCAGGAGATGATATACTATGCAAACGGTCAATCCATAATAACTAGTTTAGAAAAATAATCTATCCATTATATACAGCAAAATTAGATGATGATTTTTTTAAAACATTTCAATCTTTTCTTTAAAAAAGATTTATTTTTATTGGAAAGTTGGATTTACAGAGAGGAGAGAGAGAAAGATCTTCCATCTGCTGGTTCACTCCCTGAGGGGCCCCAATAGTCAAAGATGAGCTGATATGAAGCCAGGAGCCAGGCTTCTTCCTGGTCTCCCACAGCTTTGGGCCATCCTCTTCTGCTTTCCCAGGGCACAAAAGGGGATCTGGATGGAAGTGGAGCAGCTGGGATAAAAACGGGAGCCCATACAGATTGCAGTGCATACAAGACAAGCACTTAGCCACTAGGTCATCACACTCTTCAAAAATGATTGACTATGTGAAAGCTAAACTTTGAGAGACACACTTTCCACCTGTTGGTTCACTCCCTACACTGGCACAAGGGACAGGGCTCAGCCAAGGAGCCAGGAGCCTCTTCCTGGTCTCCAAGGTAGATAATAGAGGTCCAAGTGCTTGAGCCACCCTACAATGTTTTCCCCAAGCCACTGGCAGAGAGCTAAAGCGCTCTTATAGCATGCCAGGATTACAGGTGGTTGGTGTACTGGCTGTGCCACAATACAACCTCTAGATAGTGGCAAAAGCTGCCACTCATCGTTGTGGGTTTGGTTCTCTCCTTGCTTTATGTACAGCTGGCTATATGTACACACCGCCTACTGGCCTACCTTTCAAGCTCTACATGATTGCATCAAACAAAATCCAACTGAGCAGTACTGAGAATACACTTAACTTATGGCATTTCTAATAGCAATAAAATATTTTAAGCCCATGAAATGAAAATAATTTAATGCAGGCAATTTGATTCTTAAAGTTGATTTACCACTGGCAGTTTCTGCTTTGATCTGAGGAAGGCCCTTTTGTCTGCGTTCTCTCTCCTTCTCTCGATCCCGTCTTTCCTGGGACCGAGAGCGAGGAGAGTGTCGGCGCCTGTCCCTGGAGCGAGATCGAGAACGTCGATGGCGAGACCGCCGAGATCTAGAACCGGATCTAGATCGCCTTCTTTTTGGTGACCTGGTGTTTTTATGAAGGAGAACAGATAACACATAAAGTAGAAAATATTAAGTATATATCAATTTAAAAAATACAAATAGGCAACTTAACGTTTATGTAACACAATAACAGCTGGAAAGTAATCAAAATGTCTCAAGTTAGAAAGCATAAGCATAACTTAAATGAAATAAGTAACACTGCCATCCTGGGTACTCCATCGAATTACTCCCTTGGGCCCACTGCCGTGGCCTAGCGGCTAAAATCCTCGCCTTGCACGCTGGGATCCCATTTGGGCACCAGTTCTAATCCCAGCAGTTCCACTTCCCATCTAGCTCCCTGCTTATGGCCTGGGAAAAGCAGTTGAGGACGACCCAATGCCTTGGGATCCTGCACCTATGTGGGAGACCTGGAGGAGCTCCTGGCTCCTGGCTTGAATTGGCACAACACTGGCCATTGTGCTCACTTGGGGAGTGAATCATAGGACAGAAGATCTTCCTCCCAACATAGGAGGAATATATATCCTCCTCTCTGTATATCTGACTTTGTAATAAAAATAAATAAATCTTTAAAAAAAAATTACTCCCTTGCAGAGTTAGCTGCTAATTTCCATTGCTGAGACATCATGCTGCTACCGTTATCTTTCTGCTCAGTCAAGTCTTCTTTTCTGTAGTAATACACACTTTAAAAATTTATTTATTTACTTGAAAGGAGTTAGGCAGGCAGACAACAGAGAGATGTGCTAGCTGCTGTTGACTTCGCAAATGAATACAATAGCTGATACCAGGCTCAGGCAAAAGTAGAAGCCAGAAACTCCATTCTGGGGCCAGCACCAAGGCAGCAGTCAGAATTCTGGCTGTCCCGTTTCTGATGTGGCGCCCTGCTAAAGCGCCTGGAAAAGAAAGCAGTGGAAGATGACTGGCAATCCACGTGCCAGACCCAGATGGAGTTCCAAGCTTCTGGTTTCAGCCTGGCTCAACCTTGGCCATTCTGGCCATGAGGAATGAAACTGTGGATGGCAGATCCCATTCTTTTCTGTTTCTCTGTCTTTCAAATAAAAAACTTTAAAAGAATGGAGAAAAGATTCAATTTCTGTCTCTACATGAAGTGCACAGATCCAACTATGTCACCAGTTTCTTTTTATATAAGTAACAAATAAATTAACCCAAACTAGCATTGCTATTCTTCCACTTTTGCTGCTTGTACAGGAACTCTGAACATGTAATTCTTCTAATATCACATATGTCATTCAAACAAAAGGAAGAAACAAGGGTAAAGACTGACCTTGGATTCTTTACCTATTAAGACTCCAAGTATCTGAAGAATACCATCCGATTTAAACCTCCATGTCTTTAAGACATAGGGGGTTTTAACATATTTTCTATAAATTACCTGGATGCTGACCTAGATCTCGACTTTCGGTTTTCAGGTATATGTCGTTTAACCTCTTGAATACAAGGCTGTTCTACTTCCATTTCCTTAAACAAAACAAATCATTAGATAAGAAATGTGGAAATTAGGTCAGAGGACAAATATTTAACTAAACAAACTCTCTGGTAAAAACATCCTCCATCTTCCCTAAAGCAATTCTCTTTTGGTATTATACCCGGGACCAAATCACCTGACCATCACTGAAAAACAAAATTTAATGTGGCTCATGGGATTGGAAGCGATATCTCTGGAAATTAGGTAAATTGCAGCCCATTCCAATAAGCCATCACCTACCATGGGGAGCTGGTACTGATTAAGCCTTCTATGCTTTTCTCACTATCCTTACAGAATCTAGAAATTGGTAGTGGTATATTACTTCCTCAGGAAAAAACTTGGAGCACAGAGGTTTACTATGTGCCCAAGGACTGATTTTGCATTAAAAAAAAAAAAGAAGAAAAGAAAGAAAAAGAAAAAATAAACAGGAACTTAACATTGAAGTCAAGGCAGCCATAATGATCATCAGTAACATAAGGAAACCCACCTGCTGATGAGGCTTCTGTGTATGTGGGTCACTTTGTGCCTGAAAAGCAGCAGCTTGGAAAGGCTGCTGCCCTGGCGGAGCTGGCGGCATCACAGGCTGAGCCATGGGAGCAAACGGTGCCGGAAGAATCCCGTAAGCCGGCACCTGTCCATTAGGAGGCAGCGAGACCTTTCATGTTTAAACAAAGTATAGGAGTAGACTTAAGTGTTAGCTTTCACAAACTTTAATCTAGAAACTTTTTAGCTAATTTGTTACTGTGTCTTTAGTAAACTCTTAACAGGAAAAAGCAATGATAGTAAGCACTAACGTTTTAGAAGTACAATCTTTGTTCAAACAAGTTATATACTCAACTACCAAAACATCTTCCACAGGTTACATCTCTGCAAGTGCAACTCAAACCCCACTAGTAGAGTAGACCTCCCTGCATTCCCCACAGCACAGAAGGCAGAAAACTCTCTCCCCCATCCTCTCTCTTGCTGGCCCAATCCCCCTGAGCATGGCCCACATGCCTCTGTATTCTTCACCCTTTGAACAAACCTTACACAGGCTTAAAAAAAAAAAAAAAGAGTTAATTATATTAATTATAATATCACACAACATTCTTAAATTAGTTGCAAACTTGTAATAATGGCTTAGAAACACCTCAGTGGGATTTCTTCATATTTTAAAGAGGCTTAGAAAATGAGTTTATAAAAAGTTAGTAATATCATCACGTCAATCATACTATCTACTCTGTGGAATGGATTGAACATAAGCAGAGTAAGAAAATGAATACACTGTACACTGTAAAGAGATTTTTCAGTAATTTAAGTATACACAAGACTTATTTCCCATGGGTCGTTGTATAAGATATAAGCAACACATAATTCAAAACCATATTTATTATAACTGTAGCACTGAAGAGCCAATAATAGTATTGTTTAAAAAATGGCTGTTGTTGACCCAGCTCTCCCGCTGCTAAGAATACATCCAAAAGAAATTAAAACTATATATGAGAAGGGGATCTGTAACACTTTATTTACAGCAACACAATCTACAATAGCTAAGACAGGGAAACGACCCAGATATCTGTCCAAAAAGGAATGGCTAGAGAAACGGTGGTACATTTACTCCATGGAATATTATTTCAGCCTTTAAAAACATTGAAATTATACAATTTGCAACTAGATGGTCCCAACTAGAGACCATTACGCTCAGTGAAATAGGTCAATCACAAAAAGAGAAATACCATATGTTCTCCAATATAAGGAATCCATCATGCAAATTGGAATGTACAGTAGTGGAGTAACGGAGACTACCATATCCAGATGTGAAGACACAATGCAATATGCATTCCTACTTCCAAACAAAAGATGGACTCCCAATGAAAGAGTTGGATATATCTAGACAATGGGATGCTGGACTGTCTGACATTGTCTGTACCAGCAATGTCGGGGCACATCTGTTCATTTTAGGATATATGATTTATGTTTCACAGATTACTATTATTTACCTTATATAGGAGAATATATGGTATTTCTCTCCTTATGAAGAGTTGTGACATTATGGGAAAAATCAATCAGTAGGTGGAAAATGGGGACAGGGGAATCCCAGACTATACAGAATTATATGATAAACTTCAAAAATAAAAATTAAAAAAAAAAACCCTCTCATTATCCCCAGTTAGATGCAATCAGTTTTAACAAACTCTACTTGAAAAAGTCATGACTAACTTCCTGAATCTCCTTCTATTACAGATATCACATTATAAACCTGAATGTTGAGACCATTTATACAAATACAGAAAAAAGGCTGCTGCAAGAAAAAGCTTTGTAACCAAATTCATCAGCTTGGACAAACAGAACCATATTCTCCCAACTGTAACCAAGTATCTAAGACTATGATATGAGGTCATAGCATTTAGCATTATTGCTCTAAAGAAAAAAGTAACTCAAACTCAATAGTTTTACCAGAGCCATGTTACTTAGTTGGTCATAGTTAAATAATACTAATGTGTGAAATATAAATCATACATCCTAAAATGAACAGATCTTAAGTTATTGAAATTCAGGTTAAAAAAGTGCCTGTACCTGGTGGTGCACTGGATCCTGTTGCATTCCCATCATTCGAGGTTGAAATTGATCCATATTTTGATGCTGTGTGTATGCTGGCTGCTGCATGGCATCTCCAGGAAAGCCACTGAAAATATGAAATCATGAAATGTACACTACAGCTGTATAAGGCATTGGTAATTAACATGAATCATGTATTCGTCAACATATTAGCTTCTGTCCAGTAATTAAAACTAAGAAAATAAACTCACAAGGCTGTCTGTGGAGGAGGAGAGGCGGCAGCAGGCACCGCGGCAGCGGGGGCTGTGGTGGCAGGCGCAGGAGGTGCCACGGCAGCAGGTGCTGCAGCAGTGGGGACAGGGGTGATGGTGGCGGCGGCAGCAGCAGCAGCAGCAGCAGTGACAGTAGCAGCTGCGCCAACAGCAACAGCATCCTCTTTCTTCGATTCTTCAACAGCTTCTGGCTCATCATCATAATCAAATCGATCAAGCAGCTTCTGCAACAGGGACGTCAACATTTCGTGTTAGAACTCGGACTGTAACTCGTAGCACAGCAAACTCCCATCACGTTGTCGTGTACAGCCTCGCTTTCTCACACACCTCAGAGAAAGCTGACTCAAACAAAAATACATTTTACAAGTGTTATTTTAAAAGATATAATTTTAACTCTACTTTCCTCTTTCAATTCAGTACACTTTTCCCTGACATATTATCTATCTGTTTATTTCACAATATGTTATCATATTCACTTACAGAGAATATAAGCTATACACATGAAAACAGTTGGGCATTTTCAGTTATTTCTAAAACGTACAAAGAAAGGTATGACTTATTCCATCACTACAAATGTACACAGAAAAATATACAGCTGCTCAAGAATATACCAAGAAAGGATAGGACACAGGCATGAAAAATGCCACATCTGCACAGTACTGTCTGTTTTAAAACTTTACAGCTTACCTCAAAGGATCAGAAACTTTAACTTAAAAACTGAAAATCTTGAAAAAATTTTTTAAATTATTTGTTTCAATGAGAAAGAGACAGAACTGCCATTCACTGCAAATGGCCACAACAGGGCCCAGCATGGTGGCCTAGCGGCTAAAGTCCTCACCTTGCAAGCACCGGGATCCCATATGGGTGCCGGTTCTAACTCCAGCAGCTCTGCTTCCCATCTAGTTCCCTGCTTGTGACCTGGGAAAGCAGTAGAGGATGACCCAAAGTCTTGGGATCCTGTACCCACATGGGAGACCTGAAAGAGGTCCTGGCTCCAGACCAGCGCAGCTCCAGCCATTGTGGCCATGTGGGGAATGAATCATTAGATGGTATCTCTCCTCCTCTCTCTATATATATATCTGACTTTGCAATTTAAAAAAAAAAAATGGCCACAACAGCAAGGGCTGAGCCAGTCTCCCACATGACAGAAGCCCAAGCACTCGGGTCTTCCTCTGCTGCTTTCCCAGGCAACAGAAAACTAGACCGAAGCGTACCACTATTCTGATACAGGCTGCTGGCAGTGTAAGTAGCAGCTTAACCTACTGTGCTACAATGCCAGGCCCTTTCAGAAGCTCTTTAGGTAACTGAAAATCTGTGAAACAACTAAAGCAGAGAAATTATTACCAGCAACTCGCTTAAAATAGATCATTTCAGTTAAAAGGAAAAAAAAAAAATTAACCCTAAAGTTTGTGTAACGTATACTGGCCAATCCCCTAAAGTAAAATAGTAGTATTTTAACTCAAGTTAACAAGCTAAAATTTCCCCCGTCATGGTTTTTACTCAATTATTTAAAGTCTTAGCCAGCAACACAATAAGGGAAAACAACAAGCAATCTAAAATTAAAATTCAAATTTGGTAGCTACCTACGAAACAGAATCAACATTAACACTTAAAAGATAAAACAAAAAACCAATGGCCTTTTTCTGGGTCTGGCATGGTAACCTAGCAGCTAATGTCTTCACCTTGCAAGCACAATGCCTGTTTATATTTCATTTATGATACAGCTGTAGCAGATTTCTCACCATTACGGGTGGGCCTTCATCAGCCAGCTGGTGGACCGGGTACAGAAGTGAGAGCTCCCAGCAAAGGAGCTTGGTGGCCTGCACATCAGGGAGCCCACACTCTCAGCCATCTGCCCTAGGAACTGGCAGTCAGGACTATCACGCTCACTCTTACTGGAACTTGCAGCCTGCTGACTTGGCCTACAAATATCAAATTTGCTTGTCCTGACATTTATAAGTTAATTCCTTAATTTCCTCCTGACCATCATTCATTCTACCCACAGATTTAAATCCCGGTTGCCTCCCTGATAACCCTCAGTAACGTGCTCGGTTTCCCTGGGGCCCCCGACTGACGGGCTGACTGACGACCTGTTTACCTGGAGACACAAACACTGATTCTGCTACCCTGGAGCTCGATACATGATACATGACGATACATGACCAGATATTACCAGATTGAGAAAGAACATCCAGACACAGAAACACAGACGTCTGGTACATGAAAAGAGCATGGAAGATCTGATAAAGATTTTGAGCAATATTTTAAAATAAAGCCCAGAGGAAACAAACAGACAAGCATGAACAATTTAAAACTACTGAAAGAAAATAAAGTTCTTTTAAAATACAAGTAGGGAGTTCTACTTATGACACAGAATGAATATCAACAAGTCTATATATACACACATGCACGGAAATAGCTGTGAAAGAACATACACAAACAAATCCATTCAAAGTAGGCAGAATTACTTCTCTTTTCACTTTGTAACTTGGTACCCTCCACTAGAATGCATGTGACAAATTCATCCATTCTTTTGATCAGCATCCATAAATCACTAAGATACAATCAAAACCACCAATAAACTGGATCATGGTCAATAAAGTTCATATATCTTATGAATATTGATAAGTTTCAAATTTTAGAGATGATGAATGAAACCAAAGATACAGTTCTATGATTTTCAAACTTTTGTGTAGTTTTGCAGTGAAATTTGAAAAATAAATTTTACAAAATTATAAAACCTCAGAAGTAGAATAATCATAAAGCAGACAAGAGTGTTTCTGCTTGGGCTAAAATATCAACAGGAAGATGATCTAGGTTGTGCACACCCATTTCCTCAAGGAGGGCTTCATGCACATGGAAGAATCAGAAGGCCCTACAGCGTGACTGAAAGATACTGACCCAATCCATTACAGAAATGGTAACCGAGTTTCTAACAGCAACATCAATGTTTATCAGCAGGAAAATGTCATTTAAACCATAACACACCCATATAATGAATATGCATTCAGTAAAAATGCAGCTCTAGATCCATTAACTTCAGTATGAACAACAAAAGGAAACAGCAGTGTTAAGATCCACACAGGCAAGTGTGGACTGCAACCAAATTGAAGAAAAGCATGTATCCAAAAAGAAATCAGAAGGATATAAAGTAAAATGTTACAGTAATAATCTCCAAGTATGGGAGTTAATAAAGAGCTTTCTTGTTTAATTACTTTACTGGTAAAAAAATTCTGAAATGAGCATGTTTACTTTCATAACTACAAAAAAATCGTCAATGCTTTGATGTCAAGGTATGGGGGGGGGATCCCTCAAATCACAAGCGAAATGAACAATCTAAAGAAGCTTCTAGAAGGGATTAGCTCTCGCATTCCAAGTTGAGGAATACAAACAGTGGGATGGATTATGTGAGAGAAGCATACCTTGTCAAATGCAGTTTTTTGTTCAGGTGGGGGGAAAGCAGCTTTTTGTTCAGGTGGTTGTGTAGGAGCTGTCTTTAATTGAGCTGTGATAGCCTGAACCTGAGCCATCACAGCATTGTCAAGGGCGGGAGACTGTGGTTTTGGAGGCTGTTGAAAAGTCTGAAGGATCTGCTGAAGCTTAAAGAATGGGAAAACTGATAAACCACAACAACAAAGTATAATCATAATATTAAAAGTCAATCTACAAAAAAAGAAAAAGCAAAACAAAAAACCCTTTAAAACAACTTCATTTTCACAGATACAAACTTGGAAGAAAAATCAAGCCATTTCCAATGGTTAAGTTTGCTGTGAACGAACATTAGCTATAAATACAAGGTGCATAGTGTAGCTTTAAAAACATATACTGATAATCTCAGTGATACTGATAGTCAAGCAGAAGAGAAAACACTGGACTGTGAACAAGTACACTTTCTAGAAAACAAGATTCTTTCTAACCCCAACGATTTTGAATTCAACTTGAAATACTAGCATTATGAGCAACAACACTGGCCACTTTACAGCTCTGAAGTTCTCTTCAAAGGAGTACTGCTATTGCTAAACATGTTTTCCTCTCGTTTGTCATCTTCACATTTCCCCTTTTATCTTTGTCATTAGCCTTAGTCAAAGGCTTTCTAGCTGAAAAGGCGGCATTTCCCACCTTGTATTCATTCTTGAGGAATGGAAACAAAACTGTCAACAGCAGCTAGCCATGATTTCGCCTTGGAGTAGGTGACTTACCTGCTGGCCTTGCGTGGTCTGAAACAGCTGCGCCACAGCAGCAAAAGCATCAGAGCTGGGCAACTGTGGAACAGCTGGCAGAGAGTTGGGAGCAGCTTGTGGGGGTTCAGAAGAAACTTTCACTGTAGGTGGAGGTGAGCCTGCAGAAAAGGGCGTTAAGGCCCAAGAAAATGTTCATCTATACATTTCCCTCTTTAAAAACTTTGTTTGCTAAAATAAAATTTCAACAGCTTAACACACAGTAAAAGATACGTGTAGTGCATGGTTCTGAAATATGACAAGTATCAGAATATTTTATATAAAAAAAAAATTCATGCTTTCAAGATGTAAATTAGAAATTTTCTTTTCAGAGGAAAACTCCAAAAATATAGACAGACTCAAAATCTTCTGTGTATTAAAAGTTGTATCATGAACCAAACACACAAATACATATGATCATACCTTCATTATTGGCAACATTTTCTGTTACTGGGGCAGCATTACTGGTTCCTGCTGCCATGTCCAAAAGTGGTTGAATAATTTCAATTTTGAACACTCCATTTTTTTGCCAAAGGTTCAGCACACGGACTATTTTACTCTATTGTGTGAGAGAAAACAAAAATATAGTAAATATTCCTATAATTAGTCTGCTAACTCCTGACACTAACATTTTCAGACCACTTAAGAAAACATGTGTACTGTGGCAAGCCTACTTAAAAGCTACCACCTGCAGCGCCGTAATCTCCATTCAAGTGACAGTGTGACAGGCAAATGCTGTGTAGTTTCTGTCGAGGTCCCTGGTAAAAAGGCCTGGGAAAGCACTGGCGAACGGCGAAGTGCTTGGGTCCTTGCACCCATGCGGGAGACTTAGCAGAGGCTCGAGACTCCCGTCTCTAGCTTGGCCCAAGGCCAGTTGCTGCAGCCACTTGGGGAGTGAACCAGAACAATGAAAACCTGTCCCTCACTAACTCTGATTCTTACAATGAAAAAGGAAAGAGATAAAATATGAAATGATCACTTCAGAAAAACCTGGGTGGGCTTTCTTTCAAATTCATGGAATTTAGCACAAACCTCTTCTAGTAATTTCCAGTGGTTTCAACTATCTCATATGCTGAAATGAATATAAGAACAAAAACAAAAGGTTTTTTTTTTTTTTACTAAATCTGTAAGAACACAAGACTCAATTAAAAATTAATGACCATACCTTATCCTCAGATGGACAAAGATACAAATATTGGAATGTGGCAGTTATGTTTTTAGAGAATCTTGGACCAAAAACATCCTTATCAGTTCCAAACTGATGACGAGACTGTCGCACAATTGAGTCAATTACATACAATCCCGGAACTTTGTATTCTGGCTTACACTGCAAAGAAAGGGAGAGGCAATGTGATATCCATTAACCTCACATTTATGAAACATCATGTGTTATTAATCTAATGACTATCTAGAAACGATGAAATGTTTCCGTTACCTGTTTGGCTAACTTGCCAAATACCCAAAAGTGTAAACGACACAAATATATTCTTTGATATCCCAGATCACTAAGATTGGAGGGCTCAACTTCCCAACATAGAATTTCTCAACACTTCGAATCCCGAAGCCACTTTCATTAAGCAACCTTACAATTATAGTCCCTACTCCAATTTATTCTGCTCAAAAAAAAAAAAAAAAACAATTTTTACTTTTTAAACTTAACATCACAGCAATTTTCACTCTATTACAGTGCGACATAAGAGTACTCTCAGTGCTTGTGCCATCTGCTGCTGCTTTCTCAGATACGAGGGGGGAGCTGGATAAGAAGTGCAACAGCCAGAGCTTCAACAAGTGCTTGTGTGAGAAGGTGATTATGGGATGCTAGCATTAGTCGGCAGCTTCCTGTGCTATGTCACAAGGCTAGCTTCAAGAAATAAAAATTAAAAGAGGGGTGGATGTCACAGTGCAACAGGTTAAGCTAACACTTAATGATGCCTACAGCCAATGTCAGAGAGCTGCCTGAGTCCCGGCTGTTCTTTCCACCAGTTCCTTGCTGAAGTGCCTGGGAAAGTATCAGAAGATGGTCCAAGCGTTGTGGCCCACTACCCACACAGCAGGTAAAGCTCCAGGCTTTTGGCTTCAGACTACTGTAGGTATTTGGGAATGAAGATTTGTCTCTGCTAGCACCTAGCACCCTGCCTCACAAACAAAAAAGAGGAGAGTTCATCTGGGGCCACCAAGTTGACAAAAATTAAGCATATCAAAGAAACATTCCTATATATATATATTAATAGGAAAAAAAAAGGTACACTCCTTCAGCCCCTGCACGCATGTGGGAGACCCAGAGAAGACTCCTGGCATTTGATTAGCTCAGCTCCGGCTGCTGCAGTCATCTGGAGAGTGAACCAACAGATGGGAAATCACTCTTGGTCTCTCCTCTCTGTAACTCTGCCTTGTGAATAATAATAATAATAATAATAATAATAATAATAATAATAATAATAATAATGTACTGGGCTCTGCATGGTGGCCTAGTGGCTAAAGTCCTTACCTTGAACATGCCAGGATCCCATATGGGCGCCGGTTCTAATCCCGGCAGCTCCACTTCCCACCCAGCTCCCTGCTTGTGGCCTGGGAAAGCAGTCGAGGACGGCCCAAGGCTTTGGGACCCTGCACCCATGTGGGAGACCAGGAGGAAGTTCCTGGCTCCTGGTTTCGGACTGGTGCAGCTCTGGCCATTGCAGTCACTTGGGGAGTGAATCAACAGATAGATATATAGAGAGGAGGAGAGACAGAGAGGAAAATCTATCTGACTCTGCAATAAAAATAAATCTTTAAAAAATAAATGTACTATCCACCGTTTCAGGGAGCTAAGACAAAGACAAAGGAAAGACAAAGATCTTTCCAGTTTCAGTTCTTTACTGACACTGACACCCAGTTACAAAACAACATACAAATAAGAACTGAATAACGGCCCAATTCTGATGGGAGAAGTATCAAATTACTTCTCAAGTAATTTTGTGCAGAATACTCAAAGGTGAGTTGAATGTCAGCAAATAGTACAATGGGGAGAACAGGCATGTCAGCCCAGAGAATTGGTCCTGCCTGAGACAAAAGTTGTGCAACACGACACTTTATTTCAATATCAGTGTAAGCACTCCGTCAATGGCACTACTTGTAAACTCATGTTTAAACTCCTAGCAATTACAATAAACCTTTCATGACCATGGACAGCCTTTATAACATTATCACAATTTGTAGCATTAGATATATGCATGAAAAATAATCATGAAATAGTTACCTTTTTGATGAACTTTTCTACTATCTGAACTACATGCTTATAAAGCTGTAAAAGAAAACAAAAAGTTATGTTCCATCACACACATTTCTCTACAATTAGAAATTACCAAATGCCTTGAAATTTAGTTTAATTCCTGCTACTGAATCATGAAAAACAACCTATAATCAACAGATGGAAAAATTACTGGAGTAACAAATCTTATCTATCTAAAACAGAAAGAAGTTGCTCCACATACAAGCTCCTTCCTTTCCTTAGACATTTTAATGAATAGTTTCATAAAGCAACATCGTCAGGCAATATTATGGAAGATAAGCAACATAGCTTTAGAAATCAATTATTAAAATGTGATCTTGGTTAAGACATTTAATCCCATGGAGCCCAAATTTTTTTCTTTCAATAAAATTAACTCTTTTGATTTACTACCAGAATTAAATGGAGGGGGAAAAAAATCTAAAGCAACATCACAATGCAAATGCATGATATTATCGTGGGGATTCTAGGAGAAGCTGGTTTATTACTGAGTCAAATTTCAATTTATAAGAGTCTCAACTTGAATAACATAACATTTTTAAAATCAAAAAAATTTCTCAAATTAAATATATTTCTTTTATTCTTACCTTAATAGCTTTAATAGCAGCTTTAGTGATGAGAATCATTTTCGCTCTGGAGATTGGAGGCTTCATGTCCATTAGTGAGAAGAGCTAGAAGACAGACACAAAAACACTTGAACTGAAACTGCAACAATCTGTATGGCAAACACTGAGAGCCTCCCTACGTACTTCACCACTTGGAGAACCGGAACTATCACACTACTAAACCAGCAAAGAAAATCATAAACCTAGAGGTAAAAATAAGTATGTAAAAGATATAACCATAAGCAATGACAAAACTCTACCCAAAACTCAAAAAAATTATTTTGAGCCAACATATCTTGGTCCTCTGTTAGCATTTAACGTAATTTCACATCAAATCTCACTGAAATTTTGTAGAAAAAAATCCTAAGGTCCTTTTGAACAAAGCTGCATAAAACTAAGCAAGAAATAAAAAAAAAAAAAAAAGAAAAGAAAAAAGAAAAAGATTTGAGGGGATTGGCACCATTGTTTAGTATGCTAAGCCTCTGTCTGCAGCACTACATCCCAAATCGGTATAAATTCAAGCCAACATGCTACTTCACTTCTGAACCAGCTCCGGCCCCTGTACTGCTGTGAGCTTGGGAGAGGTTCCCAACTCTGGATTTAGGATGGACCAGCTCGGGTCACTGTGGCCGCTGGGGGAGTGAACCATGACCTCTTTCTATAACTTCTCTTTTAGATACAGGATCTCTTTCTCTAACTTCTTCCGTAACTCCTTCATATATATAAAAAAAAAAAAAAATCAGTAAAATGATTTGAAATCAGCCAGAGTTAGAGAGCTTCCATCTTCTGATTCACTCTCCAGCTGGCTGCAATGGCCACCTCCAGGGCTTCCAGGTGGGTGTCAGGGTCGCAAATACTTGAGCCATCCACTGCAGCTTTGCTTGATCATTAACAGGGAGCTAGACTGCAAGTGCAACAGTGAGCACTTGACCTAGTGCCCATATGGGGGGCAGACTTAACTACATTGGCTCTTACCAGGCAAGGAACTTAAAGTGGTATCAAAAAGTTTCAAGAATTTGTGACACTAGCACAGAAATTTATATTTCAATTATAACTACAATTGCTCACATTAAATGAACACCTATTCTTAACAGTAAATCCAGCAACCTGAAGCTCCTGTGAGACCTAATCATATATTTATACCCCTTTCTGCAAAGATTTACATCTAATCAGAATCCACAAGTTATAAACAGAAAATACTGACACTAAATCTTGATTCTTATATTCTTATTTTTAATCAAATACATGTGAAACATTTGGTATTTATCAAAAAGAATTAGATAATTCTTAGGATTTATTTTTATTTGAAAGGCATTTTTTAAAAAAGATTTATTTTTATTATTTTTTCATTGGAAGGCGGATATACAGAGAGGAGGAGAGACAGAGAGGAAGATCTTCTGTCCGATGATTCACTCCCCAAGTGCGCACAACGGCCGATGCTATGCCGATCCGAAGCCAGGAGCCTCTTCCAGGTCTCCCACGTGGGTGCAGGGTCCCAAAGCTTTGGGCCGTCCTCGACTGCTTTCCCGGGCCACAGGCAGGGAGCTGGATGGGAAGCAGGGCTGCCGGGATTAGAACCGGTGTCCACGTGGGATCCCGGGCATGCAAGGTGAGGACCTTAACCACTGCGCCACCGCGCCGGGCCCGAAAGGCATTTTTTAAAACGATTTTTTAAAAACATTTTTGTTAGAAAGTCAGGTATACATTGGGCCAGTACAGTAGACTAGTGGTTAAAGTCATGCACTAGAATACCATACAGGCACCAGTTTGTGACCTGGCCACTCTACTTCCCATCCAGCTCTCTGCCTGTGACCTCGGAAAGCAGGAGAGGACAGCTCAAAGCCTTGGTATTCTGCAGCAACGTGGGAGACCCGGAAGAAGTCCCTGCCATTACCATTGCAGTCACTTGGGGAGTGAACCACTGCATGGAAAAACTTCTTGTCTCTCGTCTCTGTAAATCTGCCTTTCCAATAAAAATAAGTAAAATCTCTTAAAAAAATTTTTTAGGTTTTTTCTTAAGATTCATTTGTTTTTATTCGAAATTCAGATTTTACAGAGAGGACAGACAGAGATCTTCCATGGTTTGCTTAAGAGCTGGGGGCAGTGATCTGCTGAGCTACACATGACCATGGAACCTCTCTCCTCCCGCTCCCCATCCCCACCAAACACACATGGGTACTGGGGTTGGGAACAGGCTGGGCTGGTCCAGGCTGCAATACCTGCAGGAGCACCCAAGAACAGGATGTGGGGCGGGCCTTTCCATAACTTCCACTTCCTCACACAAAGGTTGACACTGGAGGCAGAATATGCCAGGTGAAGACCTAGCACCCACTTGCACATGTGAGGTTTGGGTCTGGCCCTGGAAGAACTTGGGAAACTTCCCTGGTGGGCTATATCTCCCACTGGTGAGCATGTGATTCAGGCCTGGATGCTGGTCGGGTCAGGCAAGACAGCTTCATTCACTGACAAGTGCGTGGGTTGATTCTGGGGTGGGAGGTAGATGGGCAGGGCCATGCCAAATCTTGGCACACTGATATATGCAGGCGCCAGGATGGGGTGCAAGCCATGATGGATTATGCTATCAACCTACCAGTTTGCATGAAAGCCAGGGATGGGGGCAGACTTGGCAGGGATAGGCTGCAGCACCAGCAATAAGAACTGGGACTGTAGTAGGCTGGGACAGGTCAGGATAATGAGGGATGGGCTATCCTGGGCTGAGTCACACCAACCACTGGCATAGGCTAGATCTGTGGATGAGAGCCAGCTTGGTCAGGTTGCTAAGCAGCCACCCCAGCTGGGTGGTGGTTCCCACTGGTGAGTATGAGAGCTGAAATGGGTGCAGCAATCTGGCTGGACATGACTGCATTGGTGTGCGCTGGGTCTGGGGCATGCCAGATTTGGCTAGACAGGGTGCATCTAGGACAGGGTACGTTAGGTCTTGACAGGGCTGAATCACGAGAGCTGGGTGTGGGGGTGGACCAGGTTTGGCTGGGCTGTAGCACCCAACAGTAAGAGCCAGAGTGGTGTGAGTCAGTTGTGCAAGGCTGTTGTTCCTGCCAGGACAGAAGTTGGCCCAAGTCAGCCTGAGCCAAGCACCCACGGGGTGCATAGGATCTGCACTAAGAGCAGTCCCTGCTGGTAAGCACAAGAATTAAGACTGGGAGCAGCCCACATCAGGCCAGGTAGGGTTGCAACACCAGCCAGTTCACACTAGGGATGGGACTGGGGACTGGTTGGGCTAGGCCAGGCTCAAGTATCTACTAGATATGCCCAGGTGAGGCAGGCCATGCCAAACAGAGCCAAAGCACCCACCAGCACACTTAAGACCCAGGGATGAGAAGGTAAGCGTGGCAAGGGTAAGCAAGAACTCCCCTGCTAGGCCACTGCTTCCACTAGCAAGCATGAGAACTGCGATCAGGGACAGACTAGGCTAGGCTAGGCTAGGCTAGGCAGGGTTACAATACCCATTGGCCTGTATGTTAACTGGTTTAGATGGAGAGCCAGGCTGGGCTGACTGACTATATCCACTGGCGCATGCATGAGTCAGAGTAAGGGCAAGCTGGTCGGGCCTTGCCACATCAGCTGGCAAGTGCTAGGAATTGGGGGAGAAGCCCTGTCAAGCAAGACCACAGAACCACCTGGAAAGTGCAAGATCTGGGATTGGGAGTAGGTCTAACAGGAAACTATGAGCACCTCTCTGATGGGCTGCAACTGCTACCAGGGAGCATAAGAACCAGGGCTGGAGTGGTCCCGGCTGGACAGGCAGTGATACCCACAAGCATAAGTAGGGGCTGGATAATGGGGACGGTTGCGCTGAGCTAAGCTGTTGCACCCACTGGTGTGTACAAAAGCTGAAAGGGATATGGGACAGAATGGACCAGTCTGCTGAACATACCCTCATGTGCAGGAACAAAGGCTGGGCATGGGCCTGGTGAGGGTTATCAAGGACCGCTCTGACTGGGCTAGAGTTCTTGCTGGTGTACACGAGTGCTGAGTGTGTAGTGGGCAGTATTTGGCTGGGCTGCAGTATCCACTGGTTTGCATTAAGAGACAGGGCTAGAGACAGAACAGACCCAGCAACTGTATATAGGTTGAAGTGGGTAAAACTAAGCTGATCCCACACTGGCTAGCACACAAGAGTCAGGTCTGGGGTCACCTCAGATGAGATTTCTTTGGAGAACCCCCAATTGAACTATTGGAGTAAAAACTCAAACCATGGGCAGAATTGCAGGATCTGTGCATTCTCAGTTGCTGAAGACGTAGTGGAAAGCATGCTCAGATGCACGTGGTGGATGTGGCAGTCAGTCCATTGGGGCCTGCAGAGGACATCTAGTACCACAGCAGAGGACGGATGGCAGAACAAATTGGACAACTCTCCCAGCCAAGTGTTGAGAGCAAGGACCTGGGTGAATGGAGACCTTAGAATGTGGATTATGTCAGCCAATAGACCTTGGAAGATTTTCCTCACCCTTGGAACACCAAAATCAACAATACTTCGTAACTATTGAAGCCACTTGAGCAGAACCCTCAGAGAATGCTCCACATCAGAGTCCCTGGAATGACATCAGGTGGCCATACCCATCCCCGCGTACTGATGCGGTTAGGATGCTGGGTGTGGCTTCTTTCCTTTTTTGCCCTCTTTCCCCACATAAAGAAGAAAATGAAAATTGCAAACAATGGCTCACCCACTTTCCCCTACATCCTCGATCCTTCCCACCCTAATCAGTGGTCCACATGGGCTTCATCCTTTTCAATTACATAAGCACTATCAAACATAAACCTTAAAAGTCTTCCATCCACTGGTTCACTCCCAAGTGGCTGCAAGGGCCGGAACTGAACTGCTCCAAAGCCAGGAGCCAGGACCTACGACCTTCTGGGTCTCCTATGCAGGTGCAAGGGCCTAAGGCCTTGGGCCTTCTTCTATTGTTTTCCCAGACCAGAAGCAGGGAGCTGGATGGGAAAAGGAGCAGCCAGGACACGGATCAACGAATCAGCGAGGATTAAGCCAATGAGCCAGCCCACTTGGCCCTATCCTCCCAATTCTAAAACAAAAACGAGCTTTGTTA